GGCTGCTCGGCGCTGACCCGCTCTCACCCCCCACCCCCGTGTGCTTAGATAGACCTGGAGTTCGGACACCAGGAAGCCTGGGACGGGGAGCAGGGGGAGTCTGCCCTGACCAAGCGCCGCCTCGCAGTGTCTGCCTCGGACAACGAACACCTCTGACACCCCGAGTTTGCCACTCAGAGTTTTTCTGGATCTTTCCCAACTAGAAGACAGAGAGCACTTCTAATCTACTCGGAGCAAAGACTCTTCCTTCTTCCCTACTTCCCAGTGTGGGTTTGAAGTTGGCCGCGCGTTGCTCCCCGGGAAAGCAGGAGGACCGAGGGGCTACAAGTGTGTTCCCCTCTGCCAGCTGCCTCCTCGTGCCGCACCCCACCCTGTCTCCGACCCCGCTGGAAGAGGGACTGGGGGAGTGGCGCTGGAGACACATCCTCGCACTCGCAGGCTCTCCTGGTTCCTGCGCAGCAGGGACGGCGCAGGAGCTGGACTAGGGGCGCTCCCGGTTTGAAGAAGGAGCCTCCCCTTCTCGGCGACAGAGGGTCGGCCGGGGTGTCTACTGCCCTGGTCGGAGATGGACAATGGCCCGGGGCTCAGTGCACGGCCCTGGCCCTGCCCCTTCACTTCCGGTGCTCAGTTCAAACTGGACAATGCCAGCTCCGGCCAGTTCCCCTCCCCCACGCTACAACCCATTTAAAGGGACAGAGCCTGCTTTCGGGGGCCTCCGCTTGCTCTGAATTCAGGCTTTTCCACCAAGTGTGCAGACCCTCTCGTGTTTCTCATGTTGCTGCCAGGTGTGTGTGTGTGTGCGCGTGTGTTGTGTGCGCACACGCGCGGGCTCTTGAGTATTTGAGAGAGAAAGGGAGAATGACCGGGGGCAATGGGGAGGCAGCGAAAGACTATGGGGAGATTATTTCCTTCCCTTTCCTAGGGAGCGCTCGCCAAGAGGTTAAAACTTTAGGGTGAGGAATGGAGGAAAGGGCTTTAGGGAATTAAAAGAACAACTTTGTTCCTTTGGTCCTGAGCGTAAAAAACCATATGTATCTTTAACAAATATAACCGTTGCCCACTCTCAATTGAAGACTCCAGTTGAGAACTTTCAAGAGTTCTCCCAGTGCGTCAGCCGAAACCATTTTATTTGCGTCGCCGGTCCCCGACAGTCTTATCTGCCACATGAGTAGCACTCTTAAAATGTGTTCGCCCCTGTACCTCTGTGCCCATGATTCGGGAGCAGGTGCCTGAGGTCTGGCTGAAGAAAAGAAAAGGAAAAAGGAGCTGAGTGCTCTGGCTTCGCCCGGTCCGAGCTCCGGCTCTGTTCGGTTCCCCACGTCCGCTCGGCAAGCTTCTCTGTCCAGGGTCCTGAGGACGCCGGTGGCTCTGTCCACGGTGCTGAACTCAGCGCGCGCTCTCGGCGCACGACTTTAAGGACGCCTTCTAGAATTCCAGCTCGAAGTCCGAAGTCCGTCCCAGAAAACTCGATTCTCCTCCATCTCCCCAGTAACGCTGACACACCTGAGAAAAATGAAGAGGTTTTTTCAGGACACTAAAGCGAAGGGATTCCCCATAGTACATGATTGGATGAGCGTGGTGCTTCTTCAGAAAAATGTGTAGAAGGCCCAGCCTCAGTGATGCAGGTGGGAGGGTGCAGCTGCACGATAGTTGAGGCCTCCAGGGAGACCTGGTTTCAGTTCCAGGCCAATCTGCACCTGCCATCCTAGTTAACTGGAATGCTGGGGTAGGAGGAGCACTACGCGAGACCTTGAAATATCTCTTTCTCTCTCTCCCTCCTGCTCGCTCTCATAAACAGAAAAAAAATAGGTAGAACTGCTTATTTGGCCATAGAGGGAGAGGAAAGAAGAGATCATTAAAAACAATTTAGAAATTATTTATTTTACATTCATTCACTGAACATCATCACAGCATACAAAATGCAATTTCCCACCCAGAATACACTGTAAAATAGCTTAATCACACATGTTGTTGTTAACAAATAATTTTCTATTTCTTGTTTCATATATATGTTCATTTGTTTTGTTTTGTTTATTCTCTATTTCTTTTTTCTTTAAATAAAAACAATCCCATAGCATTTATTGCCAACTAGTAATAACATAAGGGTAATCAAAACAATATGAACAAACTTTTAGAACCATACTCTCCACGAAGGGAACAAACTACTGTCTTCTCTGCAAGTTCTCACTCTATTTATCATTTCTAGTTGGAGACACTGTAGTAGAGTTATATTATCTCCTTTTAACGTTATCCGACCCCGTTGGTTTTTTTTTTTTTTACTTTGTTTTAGAATGAATCTCCTCTGCATCATCTAATACAATATGCATGTACACCCAAACCAATGATGCAGCCTTCTACCACATACTTACTTGCCCATAGAGCCACACCTGAATCCGGGATCTGTTCTGTACCTGAAGATACAGAAGGTCGATGGGCTGCACCATCACCTTCGGCCCTTTCTGGCCCTGGCCTCGGTATGCCATGGTGGATTATTCCCTATCTCTTACCCTCTGCCATCTCCCACCCTCCTCCACACTGTCTCTCGTATCTACAGTTGCTTTCCATTCTTTGCCCCCCCCCCACACACATTTTATTGATTCACAAACTATCTTAATTAATCTAAATACTTTCAATAGTCAGCTCAGTTTTTTATTGCCAGAGGGCACATGTGCTCACTAGGGAGGAAGAGAGAAGTTGCCCCCATGGGGAGTCGTCATGCCACAACCCTTTCCATTTCCCCCTCGGGATTTTGGGCAAGCATGTACATGCACCTGGTATGTTTCTCAAGCCACCAGGTCTGGGATTCAAATCACGTTGTCAAACACGTAGGATCCAGAGACCTAAACCACCATGACACGGGCCAGCCCAAAGATATTTTCTGATTCAAAGAAGACCAGAATAGAGAGACTTATCTCTGTTTTTAAGTTATTTCCTTATTATTAGCATTTTTCATGAGAGTAGAGGCGTTGGATTCAGATTCCCCATGTCTGGACATCAGCTGTTCTATGTACAGCTCTGTGACCGGGGGCAACTTCCTCAACATCTCTGTTTTTTAGCCTCAGTTTTCTCTTCTGGCCAGTGGGGATCACGAGAATGCTTAGCTCTCAGAGATAGTGTGAGAATGAGTTAGATCATGATGTGTGTAAAGCTTTAAAAATGACACCTGACAGAGCTGGTTCTTAATAATGTAAGTCATTAGTACCTCTGTAATCTAGAACCTGCTGGATCATCTGCTCCCTGAAGAATGGGGCCGTTTGTGCAATTTTTACTCCTATGTCTCCCCCACATCTTTCCTGGTACCTAGCACAGTGCCTGGCCCACAGAAGACACCCAAAAAGAGTTTCCTAAGTAGGCTTTCACTGAAATTATGAACTTTTTTTTTTAATTTTGCTATAGGGCATGTTATAAGAGAGAGAGAGAGAACCCCTGGGAGGATGGCCATGCCATAATCCCTTCTCCTCCATTGTCCTCTTGGATTTTGGGTACACACACACATGCCCAGCATGTCTTTCAAGCCAGGTCTGAGACTTGAACTGCATGGATAGCCATACGGGATCCAGCTGCCTTAACCACCATGCCACCTAGCTGGCTTGAAACATTGTACATTATTGAAATAGTCCTAATCCTATTCTCCTAGCCATCCTTTTTCAGATCTGCTCCCAGGAGAACTCAGGAAGCCTTCGGGGCTTCATTAAACTGCACATGTGGAGGCAAAAGACACTGTAGAAAGAGACACATGATTCCCAACACCGTCCACTACTCATCCCGGTGGGGTGGTCCATGTGACATGGAGGCTCCTGACCAAATCTTCTTCCTCTTTTGGGTTTCCATTTCAGTGAAAATTTCTGGGACCAGCAGTTACCGTAATGGCTATGTCGCTGGACTCCTATGTAGTTAACTGCTGTTCGAGTCCCGGACCCAGTGGCTTAAACTCACACCGGGTGCATCTCCGTGTGTGCCCAAGATCCCGAGAGGAGAATGGGGGAGAAGGGATTGCGGCGTGACCATCCCCCTTGGGGGGTGATTTCTCACTTTCTGTCTCTCTGTCTCTCTCTGTCTCTCTGGTGAGCACACGCGCCCAGTAGCATAAACCTCTCCAAAAAAAAAAACTTCTTAGAACCTGGTGTGATGCAGTCATCATGCCAGCTCACAAGTTTGGCGAAGGAATCAGATTAGTAATATACATTAATAGTATGATAATGTACACACACCAAATAAGTACAGAGCCTTTCGACTCGTTGTAGTCTAGTTAGGAAAACAAGAGCCAGTACAGCCAAATACTGCAGACCCCTGTGTGCTGGTCTCTGAGGGC